TGTAACCATTGCCATGAAAAACTCCACACGTGGCCACGTGGCGTGGCTAACTTAGAACCACCAAAACACGTTAAAATTTTAGGTGTGAGTGGAAATACAAGATGAGAATCCAAACGGGGTGTCTGCACGTACCACAGCATCACCGCTATCTTGGCCTGCTGCAGTAGCTCTAGCCTCTGGTGTGTTCTCCAGCCGGACACACCACTAACACGGGCATCACCGGGCTCATCCTCCGATGCCACAGACCAGCTGCTTAGCCCAAGGAGAACAGGGACACTTGCCTCCGGAGAACATACTCTTCCTACGCCACCTAAACCCAATAGGCGGCGGGAGGACTCACTCAGTCACTCGAAAGCTTTAAGCATCTTGTTTATTTGATTTGATTGTATATAAAAATGATTGGTTAACTAAATTACATGTACATACATTTTCTTTAAAAAAATTTTGAGCAAAGGAAAATGTGGGGATGAAAAAACAAAGAAATAATAATAATAATAATAATAAAAAAGAGAGCAACATTCATTTTAGGTGAGCACCCTAATTAATATTTACTTAAAATTGTTTAAGATCCTATTTAAAAACAGAGCATTTCAAGTTCTAGGATTGCTTAGGTCCGTAAACAAATACAGACCTAATTCAACAACGTAACATGGGAAAACCAAGATTTCATTGATGAAAAGCAAAGTTAATTGAGCAAGTCTACTTCATGGCAATTATGATATTGAAACTATAGGGCCACATAACTTTTAAGGTTTGATGGAGAAATATTGGCAAAAAGAGTATAATACTTCACATATTTTTTGAGTTATTAGCAGTTTAATTTTTTGTAAAAAATATATATATATATATTTTAACCAATATATTTTAACATTGAAATAAATCAACTTACATACTTTTTAATTGAAATAAGTTAGTCTAAATTTAACAAATATTGTTATGTTATGCCATATTTTTGTGAAATCCATTTTAAACCTGTTATGTTGTGAAAAAAATCAACGATAAAATAAATGTGGTGAAAAAAAAAAATCAATCCACATGCTTTATGAGCTATTTAAAATCTACCCCTCTATTTTTTAAAAAATAATTTTCAATCCATATACTTTTATATTGATATAAATCAACTCATGTACTTTTTTATTGAAATAAATCAATCCAAATTTAACAAATGATGTCATACTATGTCATATTTTCATGAACGACTAAATTAGAGATGCAGAGTCAGAGGGTTAGAGCGAGGGGAGCGGCGACAAGGGAGGCCAGCGGCACCAGACAGCGGTAGAGGTTCAAGCGGTGGATTCCGGGGATAGATCAAAAGCTTTTAGGACAGTTAAAGACTTTCTTCTTCTACAATTTTCCAGAAAATTGTGAGGAGAAAGACTTATGGTATAGCTTTCAGAGGTATGGAAAAGTGTTAGATGTTTATCTGCCAAAGAAGCGAGACAAATGGGGGAAAAGGTATGGATTTCTGCATCTGTTAGGGGTACAAAATGACAACCAGATGGTGAGGAGACTTAATGACATCTGGTTTGGATCATACAAGCTGCGAGTGAAAATTGTAGAGGAGCGAAGCAATGGGAGAGTACAGAAGGCAGATACAGAAGGCAGAAAACAACACAAAGTAGACAGGTTGGTACAACTAGGACAGTCATATGCCCAGGCGGTGAAAGGGAAAGAACAGGAGTCGCAAAACTTGCTGATTCGTGGAAGAACGATAGATAGGGACGAAAGGGCCATTACTCATTGGAAAAAGACACCAATCCAAGCAAGACAACAAAAAAGGAAGGAGGAAGTGGCATCCAGCGACACAGTAAATATCAAAAAATGGATGGTGGAGAATTCGGACTTGGAAACACAGGAGGAAATTATGGAATTTATACCAGAGCAGAGTGAACTCCAGTGGCTTGAAGGGGGCATGGTGGTTATTATCAAATCTTTAACAATAATCAATGAAATTCAACAGAGAATTGACGTAGAAGGCGGCCTGATCACTCTAGCACCATTAGGGGGCAGAAAGGTGCTGTTAACTGAAAAGGAACCGGGGTTCTTACTGGAATTTATGAAGCTCAATAAAGAAGTGTTAGCTTTGTGGTTTGAAGACATTCAATCATGGGATAAGGAAGTACAGGAACGAAGCAGAATGGTTTGGCTACGTATCTCTGGTATCCCTTTGAAAGCATGGAGTGATAGATGCTTTATGATGATCGGAGAATCAGTCGGAGAGGTGATCAAGATCCACAAAGATACAAAAATGAAGTCCATTTTATGTGATGGGAGAATGTTAGTTATAAGCCCTGTAGATCATAAGATTTCTAAAAGAATTACACTGAAGGTGGAAGAAAAGCTGTATGAGATACGAGTTGATGAAGAAGAATGGCGATCCGACCCAGATTGGTGGTTGTCGAATGATGAACGGCGGGGTGAGTCACTAACGGAGTCGGACCAGTCCTCGGAACAGTCTTCGGAGCATTCTTTGGAGCAGATAGATGAGGAAGATCAAGATTGGATAAACTTTGAATTCTGTGACGAAGAAGACGTTGGCATTGATGAGGAGCAATTAATGAAGGATGGACACAGGAATTCAAATTCAAATTTCATAAATACAGAGGAAGAAAGGGAAAGGCGGCATACAGATGAAGGAAATAAGGGTAGAGAGGATGTGGGTAATGGGTCGACTAAAGACATTGGGCCGAAGACAACAAAAGAAATTGGGTTAGGAGAAATTGGATTGAAAGTTGCAGATGGCCTGGGAAGGGACCTTAGCCACGGACAGAAGATGAGGATTAAAAAGAAAGGGCCCGAGGAGACAAAGGATGAGGGGACTTTACCGAAACCAGATCTAGATCTGAGGGTCCTAGGGAGCAAACGAAGAAGAAAGCTGGAGGAATGTTACCCAGAGAGCTTAGCGAAAAGCTGGGCAAGGAAGACGCAAGAGACATATGCAAGAGCAAACTAAGGACACAAAGGGAGAGCAGAATCTTCAACGGGGACAGCGAACAAGGTAAATCTGGTCGGTAGTTGTTCAATTTCTGATGGATGCATTGCAAATAGAAACATAGAGCTTAGAAG